ACATTTTGTCAGCTATTGAAAAATTGAAATGTGCGCTGTAAAGATAACCGCATTTAAGTTGGCCAAACTTAGAAATGATTGCTTGCTTTAATTGTCCTGTGGTTAACTATCAAAATCGGTTGCCAACTCATCGTTCTGCGTCTTATATCCGGTATTAAACGATCTTACTTGATTCCATTGTTCTTTTGTTTTTTCATGTTTGTCCATTTTATTTTCTTCGCACAAGAGCGTCTTATGTTGGAGTAATAAAAATATAAATAGGAGACAAATCTTTGTGACCATCATTTTCATAATTTCATTTTCAAATATGATATAAGCCAATTAAAGTTTTATAAAAAATATAGTAAATTTATAATTTACGACGAGCAAACATAAAGAACGGAAACTATTAACTGTATGTTATTTTCTTAAGTAAAAACCTCATTTGAATAACACAATAATTTATTGAAAATATTTTACTTAGTACGTCAACCACAAGTGTTTTTTGTTTTCCATGTGAAGCTGAAAGGATATTGGTTTACATCTTTATGTTTACCCTTTTTTGTCTTTTATTTGTTTTCGAACCCAGTTGTGTTTTTTAACCATCGAACCAAAGTTAAATAACTAGATAAACTGACTCGGTGTTAGCCTATTAATGAATATATGTAATCATAATAATCAATAGTGTGTTGAAGAAAATATTTTGTTTAAATGATTAAATTATCATGTAACCAGGTATTATAGGAAGTCCTTTTTTTTTCTATCTGTGAAAATTTGCATTCAGACGCATAAGCAATAGGTCTTTCGGAATTATCAGGATAGATATGCGACAAAACCAAGCCGAGTGCATACGAAGAAGTATCTACTATGAGTTTAATTGGTAATTTTTGGTCATAATGTGCTAAAGTAGGTTTTGAAACCAGAATTTGTTTGATTTGATTATATGCCTTGTCACAATTTGGTGACCAATTTCATTTCACATCATTGCGTAGTAGAGTATATAATGGTTTTAATGTGTCTGCTGCTTTTGGAACGAATTTAATATAATAAGTTACTAAGCCAAAAAAAGACATTAACATTGATTTATTTCCGATACAGCGGCCTTTTCGATTGCGTCAATTGTTTTTTAAAACGTAAGTAAACCATTTTCATCTATTTTATGCCCTAGTATTTAATTGATTTTTGCAGAAGTTTGCATTTCTGTAGCTTTACTCTTAACCCCGAGTTTAATAATACATTTAAAATGTTACTTAATCTAGCGTTGTGTTTATTGGAGTGAATTCCAAAGATGGTTATTGACCAAATAAACATTTTTAGTACATTTTTCTCAATTGGAAAAGTTAATGAAATGTATGCGTTTACGTTTAATTTTCAAAAGTTATGTGAGGTAAAACAAAAACAAATTGTTAGAAATTGATATCACATTGCATAAAAACATTATAGAAAAACAAATTCAAACAAAAATTATTTAAACCCAGCGAGATACTGAGTGGTTCACGATAAGTTGATCACCTTGTATACAGGATGATTGATTCAAGAATAGAAATGCAAGGAAAACAATTCAAGTACCTAAACTAAATATCGAACAAAGATAAGATTTTTATAATATTAAAATCGTATAACCGTCATAGATTAAAACATAATTATACTAAATACAGTAAAATAGTATAATAATACAAAGTATGTAGAATGTTAGGAAGTAACAGCAAAAAAAAAATTACATTGAATTAAATGTAAAACATGTAATAATAACTAAAAATATAATATTACGTGTACATGAACCCAAAGTCTGCGTAAGCCGTTTCTATGAAATAGTTGATTTTGCTTATGAATAATTGCTGTTCTAGGTTGTCCGTTGAATGATCTATACTTACATCTAAAACGGAGTCAAACAAATCTTCTGGCCAACAAAATTCATTGAAAAACGCGCGCAGGCGTTGCAAAAATTCTGACATACATTTCTCGACATCAAGAGTGACATTTCCATGAAATAAAACGGTTCGCAAACTTTCTATAGAATTGTAAACTTCCTTGTTGTACTTAAGTTCTGGGGTCAGCTCGTAGAAGAATAATAGAGCACCTCTCATGAGCGACAACAATGGATAGCTTTTCACGATATTTGTGCGGAATCGGGCCAAATGGGTTTCCATAGAAACGTCAGAAACATACTTTTGTTCAAACTCTCTTATCCATATATTCCTGTCCATGTTTTCAATCCCACTTCTTAATATTTCCCGGTCCTCCTTATGCTTACACTGATTCCATATGAGTATCACGTACTCGCAAAACTCCCTTAGCACCCGAGTATAGCTACAGCTCAGGAAAAGATGAGCCATTTGAATCTTAAAATCAAAATTAGTATTGGTGACTGTATTACCTTGGATATTTAGCTCGAGCATCTCGTAAACTGATTTGGTACCGTGTTTGTGAACTTTAATTTCCATCGGAGTTATCTTGGACCATCCCGGATTTTCCAGAAGACGATTCATCAGCTCCACCGGTTCTGGGTCGTTCATAATTGGACGACTAGTTTTTGATATCGGTTCAAAATAAAAGCCGTAGTAGCTTTCGTACGATTCTATAAAGCCATTTTGTATATCTTTCACCAAATTCATTACACTGACCATCGAGTTGTACATATCTTTCGATGAGTTAAACATTTTTATAACTTCTTTCCTGGCGTGTGACCGGCCGTGCGTTTTTTCTTTAGGCGGGATCGGGTAACAAAAACTCATGTAGAACGCCCAAAGACGGTGTAGAATTTTGGAAATGTCTTGTTCGATAGCATGTAACTCGACATGGATCGTATCGGAATAAGCCAAAAATTCTTCTAAAATGTCGGATACGTCTTTGTTGAAAACAGTGGTTGGGGATAGCTGATAAAAAAACGAGAGGGCGCCGTGCATACGCAATTCAATTTGATCACTCTGTTTGATTGACCACAGCAGCTCTTTTAAACATGTTTCTGGATCGGAATGGTTCAAATCAGTTCTCTGACACTGGGCCGCAAGCTCGGCTACGTGGTCGTAACACGTTTTCAGCACTAAAGCATACTTACAGCTTAGCAACTGTTGTGCTTGTCGTATTTTGTAATCTGCATTTTCATTGGTTATTGTCTGTACGTTGTCATTAGTTCCAATCAAATCGATCACTTTGAAACGCTCTTCGGTTTCCATCCATCGTTCGATGATATGTAAAGAAAAACCCCATTTTGGATTTGCAGTCCAAAAATTATACTCAAAAAGCTTATTCAACGTGTCCACGCGGTTCGCACATAACACTGAAACGCTGGAGTAAAATGTCAATAAAAATATAATACTAGTTTTTTCCATAGTTTAATTCATGTGGACTCAACAAGTGTTCAGTTTAAATAGAACTAGAACGGGAATTGCTGTTGCGTATAACACTAAACGCCTGAAATGGTAATGCCGCTGTTTACTGGTGTTTACCTTACACGAAAATGTGTGAATCGAGAACGTGTTTATAACATATTTTTTTCAAATTTTTTGTCTTCGAAATAGTTTTTATGTACTGTAATTATTTATTATGTCCAGACTTTTAAAAAATGCACGAAAAACAAGTGTGTTAAGTATATTAAGTTCGTTTTGTTATGTATTGTATAATTATATGTAAGATCAAAATAATTATATCTTATATTAATTGCTATGATATTTTGAAACGTATTATAAAATAATAACTAAGATTAAGTTATGATAAAAAATAAAACAATAATAACATTAATGGTTTAAAAGATATTTTAAAATATTATAAAACAGTTTTTATGTGTTTATTTATTGTTAAAATATTTTAACATTCTAAAAGCAGTTGTAACAGCTATTGGTCCCCTGTAGCAATTAACACATTTTTAAATAATTTGTTCTAGCTTGTTCGGCCAAGTTATAAACATTTTTGTATATTTCAGCTTTGATGCGGATCAGAGCGACTATTTATTTTACAATTATGTAGGCTTTTATATAGGCCAGAGTGACTATCAAATAAATGGGCCTACAATCAGTATAATCTGTTTTTTCTTTCATTTGTTGAATATGTTTCATTTTTTTACTACTTCAAATGAACATACAAATTTTTTTAACATACTTGAGACGTCACCATTATCCATTGTTGTTGGATTTAAGGTCAGACTAGGTATTAAGAAACTATTTATAGTTTTTATAAAGAGTTTAAAATAAATGTTATTGTCGAAGCTATTGTTTTTATGCTGTTTTTAAAATGTATTATTATTATTACATATTTGAGCTGGAAACTGTTCAAGCGACCCATTAAGGATAAGGGGGACGACTCCATATGGTACAGTATGTTTGAATAGGTTTTTGTTTTTTGTCTGACAATGACTTTAATTTTATAAAATACCGATCAGAGGTATTATAAAATCACTTTCGAATAAACGCTTCGATGCGAATCAGTAGTTAGTATTTTCAAGCCAGTACAGTCCAAACGAAGCACAGTATAAACCAGCATAGTTAGAAAGCATTAAATTGAGGTGCTGTATTTACAAATAAGCATCAAAGCGTTTATTTGATAGTGATTTTATCCGTGAGGACTAGTACAGTAGAAAACACTTCATTGTAGAAACAGTAATTACTCGCATTAGCTGCGTATCGAATCTAAAAAACGTCACAAGGTCAGAGTTAAAAAAAAAAATACTTGTTGATTATACAATGTATTCCATAGTAATTGCATAGTACTCGATTAGTATGTTTATTTCAGAAACTTGGCAATTAGTTTGAGACATCAACTGAATAATGTATAATAATGCTATAAAAAACTTCTGAATAGTAAAAGCTATATGAGAGTTTGTTTAAAAACGTAATTAATTACAACCAGAATGATTTTAGTTTAATTAACCGGTTTAGTATATATGAATACAATACAAAAAGGTGTTATTATAATATTTTAAACATTTTCAATATTATTTTTTTAGTTTATGTATAAAACGCTTAATTTAAAAATTAAAAAGAACATAATCACATTGTATAAATAAAATATGAACAATTTTTTTTTAATTTCTTATTAAATCCAATGAGATATTGAGTGGTTCACGATAAGTGGATCACCTTATATTATATATATATATATATAATATGCAGATATATTTATAAATTTATGTATAAAATTATAATTTTCTAAAAAAAGAAGATGTATTTGTAGGAATTCTTTTGACTGTTAATTTAGTTAAGCGACCAACGTGTAATGCCCCCCCCCCTTTTTTGGTTTTTCTTAATAAAATAAAAGTTTGATTACAGCTTTTTGAGAAAACTGTGCATGTTAAAACTCCATTCTAGATCTACCTCCAATATAATTTTTATACTTAAAGCCCTAAAAGTACACTTAAAAAAGCGGAATAAAAAATACAATACAACTCTTCGGAGAAGGGGGGAAGGGTTTTTGGTTGTTTTTTTTATGTGTATCACGGTACATAATAATATATTACATTATTTATGATAGTAGTAGTGTATGTCTAATGTAGTTCTATGCCTCGAAGCTAAAACATATTCCATACAAATTTGGAACCTATTCGAATATGTTTACCTTAAGCCGTTAAGCTCTTTAGAACTTGTATTTTGTAGTAATTTTTTTTAAAATTTTCGAAAATAGTAGAAATGAGAATAATGCAAACACGACCCAAATTTGTATGTTATTCATAACAAAACGCGAAACATAACAAAAAGAACAATTTAGTTAAATGACAAATATTAAATTTTCAACGGAGTTGTTTAGTGTGATTTCGAATAGTACAAACAACACTTATTCCGTTTTCGACTTTAATTTAAATAAAAATCGTCGGCATAAGACATTTAACAATGTATAAATAATATATCCAATGGTCGAAAACGAGATGAGTATCGCAGAGAGTACATCTAGAAGATAATATTCGTACCATGTAAGATTAAAAGCTTTTGATTTTAGATGTTGCGCACCGTTGTGTCGTACTACGTATTCCGTCCAATAAGTGGCGGCTTGTGCAGGCGACATTGGACGATCTTTAAAACGTTTGGCAACCGATTTAGCGTTTGATAAATACCTAAATAACAAACAAAAAAAAAAGTTATACAAATTAGGTAATTGCCTAAAAATACAAATCGAATGGGTAAAATTAAAAATTATGTTTTATACCGATAAATTCCACATTGATTTAACTATAACAAGTTAGATATGTGGTACAAATAAAAAAAAACATTTTCCATGAGTCGCCAAACAAAAATCCGTTTTAGTGTCGTTCGACCGAATTCATAATACTAACTGCCGCCTGACGGTATTTTAATAAATTACAATTTACTTTTTATCGTTGATTAATTTGTCGGCAGAATCAAAAATCAGCGTTTCGGTGACACTCATCAGATCAAGTGTAATGGCCATTCCAGCGTCCACGAGACTAGCTATATTCCGAGGTTGATCAGAGACAATAGGAAATCCTAACATAGGCACACCGGCATCGACAGCTTCGTACACACCAGACATACCTCCGTGACCGATGTACAGCTTGACATTTGGATGTACTGTAAACACAATCAATTAACTCGCTAAATAATATGTCCAATATAATGGGGATGACCTAGAACGGGGGGAGAGGCTAATGGGCTAAACCCCCCCCCCTCCAAATGCAAATACATAAATTGTCTACGTTCATAATAGACAGTTCAAAAGGTTTTGAATAATGATAATACACCATAACCATACTGTTCTTCTAAACATAAGACATCTCCAAAAATCAAACTGTTAGGAAAATAAGTTTTTCGATTTCATCGTTTTCACCTTGAAATTATTACTTTCCCATTGCTGCACTTTGTATTGGTTATTAGCCAATAGTCATAAGCTTCCTTAATCTTTTTGAAAGTTTTGTATTGTACTATTACAACTTGTTTGGCTTTCTCAACCTGGCTTTTTTACCTAGACCTAGTCGGGTCGCCTATGGGAGTTTGTTTTATTATTTCTAGACGGTTTCATCACTCTCTTTGAAATTATTTTAAACCGTAAGCTGATTAAAAAACCAACAAAGCAAATATACTTCTCCAACATTTCAAATTAATTTCTAAAATACAAAAAAAAATTAAAATACTAAACAATTGATTTTATGTCGTCCTAAATTTTTATGTATAAAGAACGAATGGTCAAAGAGGCGAGACATTATTTTTGCAGCGGTTGGAGCAGGGTTGTGTCTTGTGTGCAAGATTTCTTCAAGGTACAGGGAAGGAGGGATTAGTCAATGGTCTTCGAAAAGGCTGAGAAGACAACAACCAAAATGAATATGACATAATATTATTTCGGTATTTACTATTTAATGTACGTTCATGAAATAAAACGAATTTGGGGGTTGTTTGCACACAGGCCGGGTGTGGGTGAGGGAGTTCCCCCTGCAAGTGCATCAAGTGCTACGCGTTTGAATATATATTATATTACAATATATGTATTTTATACTTTATCGGTTCTTACAAAGAATATCGCGCTGGGGAAACCATTTTCTTGTCATTACGTTTTCCGGTTTATCTTCCATTTCTGTTTCGAATTTCCACAGTATCCTTTGCGGGAGTCGCCCTAGAGCTAATTTAAATGATTTTTGAACGTGCTCCGGTAATGATGACATAGCCGTTATTGATCCAAACGAGAAGTAAACCACTCCGTTTGGTGAGTTTTCAATAAAGTCCCGTATGTCCTGTAATATTCGAATTCTTAATAAATTTGTGGTGTTTGGGTAAAGGGGGAAAAGTCGAAAAATGGAAAATTGTTAACTATTGAAAAAAAATGTATTTTTAATTTTCATTCAAGTTATTTTAAGTAAACTAATTTTAAAATTGTCATTTGATTTAGTAAAATAGTCACAAAATAAATTAAATAACTAGTATCTTTTGTTCCTATATAAATTTTTCTCAGTTAATTAAAAATTTTTTTTTTACATTTTCTACGCAATAAGTATTTATTCTTAATAAGAAAATATACATAGGCGATTAGTATTTTTGTCGAATATTTCTAGAAATTATAAACGAATCTACTATTTAATATAAATATTCGATGGGAATAATATATTTTGTTTTGCATCAGATTATACTAACAGTAAGCTTAATAATTCGGAACTTGTATAAAATAAAAAATTGCTCTGTGTAATTATAAATTTGACGTGCAAACATGATGGCTCAAGTAGGGATGAAGTAAAGCTTTGTACAATTATATAAACTCTATAAAAAAGAAAGTTATTAATTAAACCCTATGAAATATAGAGTGGTTCGCGATAAAATAATCACCTTGTATATAAGGGCAATCCTTATAATGGTTTATTGTAAAACTCCCCATTGGATACACATAAAAATAAAGAAATGACTCTTTTTTAGCAAGTATTTTCAGCATTTTATAACTAAAATACCTCCCAAGTTGCGCTTATGTTCAATTATTATTATTTAGGAGCTTTTTTTCACTATAACACTATGTTGTTTTAAAAACTAAGTTATATGGTAATATGTTATACTATTCAATACTCGAACGTATCATCTGAATGGCTAATACTCACATTTGGTATTGCTCTCGGTTCGCGTAGATGAATACCGCCAATGTTTATGACAGTCGGTAACGTTGGTTTGGCCGGTTCGATGACTAAATGACTATTGACAAACACCACAGAGGGTTTAACCGGTTCGACAGAGTCATACGTTTTAGGGTTGGTCTTGGCCGACAGCGTTTCGGTGTACCACAATAAAAACTTGCCGTACTTGTAGGTCAGAAAGTTGCTTAAGCGTTCGGGGAACGACTTTGGGTAGACGAAGGACGCCATAAAATTTGACACGTATGCAGGATTGGATTCCTCGCCCAGAAACAACGATTCCATGTGATACGGCATAACCGATGGAAACAGATAGATTAGAGGCAAATGGAGGCGGTGAGCCAAGTACGACAAACACTCGGAACCTATAGATTCGACGACGAGGACATCGAATTCACCGGACATGTCTGCTAAGATAGTCTTCATTTTCGAATGTGCAAATATGTAATCGCAATTTTCCCTGTTCGAAGTCACGGTGAATTTCATGAAAGCGGCTAGAGATCTCAGTTCCATAAACTTGCTCACGTGCATGTTTAATCGAGATGGTCCCTCCAACAAGATTTCCGTGTAGTTTTCTCGGGTTTCTTCGGCAAACCAAGTGAAAGCCGTCACTTCGTGACCGACGTCGGTGAGCGAGCGTAAAAATCCGTTCATAAAGTTCCAATGACTTTTCCCCGGGTGCGGCTCCACAGCTAAAATCCGCAGTGCCGCCATTGTTGGTTGCATAAGCAACAAAGTGCATGCCAACAACTGAAGAGTACCTGAAATTAAAACCATTATTTGAAGGAAATGCATTGTGTTACATTAACGATTTGATCAAATGTTTCACTTCAATGAGCCGACAGGCACTAATCAATATAAATAGTATACATAGAAAAAAAAAAAAAGATAGATAATTTTAATATATGTTAATACATTACACCAGTCGTATCTTTATTGTAGTTTGATCATATAAGCCCAAGATTAAATGAAATTAGAGTAGTAAGCACTTGAGATACCTTTGTTAATTAAATTCTATTTTTTTATGACAGTCTAAACTATAAAAATGTACACTGTATTTTTTTTAAATGAATATCTATACGCTATATTTTTATAATGAAACATAATAAGTGGGTAACTAACATTATTATTACTATAATAATATTAGTGTAACATGTTATTTATGGTTATAATTATAAACCGTAAGGTATTAATACAATTCTGAGTCATTTATAATAGGAAAACTATTTACTATAGGTAACGTTTCCCAATAACGGGTTGACTTTTATGTACCTAAAATGATATATTATTAACAATCATATAATGCACAATAAAAATAGATATTGCTCTGCGTTTTCCAGATACTGATTCCGGACTTAATTTAAAAGAGTTACCAAAAATATTATTTCACTTTCGAAAAACAGTTAAATGACAAACAATATAATTTTGCTTATGCTACTATTGTTCAATATTGAGAGTTGCTAATATTGCTGAGTGACAACGATTATATTGTGTTACCATAACATATGCAAATTATATAAATCGTTTTTTTTTTTTTTATACTTGCTTTATGGCTATATTATGTATTTATTAAAATGTAAAACATTTGTGATAACCCAAATGCAATATTGTTTTCTCTTGGCAGTAAACTGCGTGTTGAGTTTTAGAACAAAAACAAAACTATAAAAGTCAGTGCAGTGGGAAGGGGGTGCAGTGGTAACCGAGCATATTGGAGGAGGGGGCATTAAATGGATATAAGAATTATTATAAATTAAAAAGTATGTAAATTTATTGGGTGTTTTACGCAATTTCCATTTTTGAAATTTCGTCTTCTTCGAAAATACAGAAGAAGACGCAATTTCAAAAATTGAGTATCGTTTTGTGTGTGTACAGGTGTGTTAACGACTTAAATTCAAATTGTTAAGAAAAAAAATTGCACTATAAGGAACAGAAATATTTTGACCATTTGTTTGCAAGTTCTGTCCATCGCTACAGCTATAATCTTAAAGCTAGTGTCTATTTTATTTTGAAAAATTGAAGTTAAAATAAGAAACCAACGACCACCGTTGTGTTTTTATATATTTTAAATACTCTTTTTCACAGTAGCACTGTACATTTACATAAGTTATAGCGAATGCCTGTTTTGTACATTCGTATATTACCATCGTTCAAGTGTTTAGAATTATTTTATTTGTTATTTTACCTCTCAAGACATTTTGTAACTACATTGCACTTAGCATTTAACGTACAATTTTATGTATACAGTTAAAACCAATCGCAGCAAAAAAGTAATATTCGTAAGTGAGTAACTGAGGTCCAGTTTTTACAGATAAAAAAAAAGTATCGATAAAAGCGGTGTACCTGATGGCAATTATGTGCTTAAAAATTGATTTCACGATGGTGGATTCGATTTGGGATGATCGTCTGTCCATAAAAATCTATTGCCACAGTTACCCTTATATTGTAGTTACCTAACAATATAATAAGAATATTTTATAACCTGTTGACCGTTGATTCACTGACATATAGCAACCTAGATATTTACTACGAACAAGTGTAATTTTCATACTTTTTTGGGGGTTTTCCAAAACTAAAATTTAAATAGTATTTAACTAATATTTTATGTTATTGTAGTTTTCCCTCTTAGGTTTTAAATTTAAAGAGTTAAAACTCAAGCAGTACCTTATATATATTATTTTAAATATACATGTTGAGCTATTTTTTTAAACGAAATCAGTAGCAAAATAAAAAGTTAATAATGTCAATAAAAAAAAAATTATGTTTTTTTTTTTAAATAACAATATATTACCAAAATGTAAATATAAATATCATTACAATTTCTGTTGCATAAATATAGAATTACAAGCTCTGAAATATATTACCAATGTGTTTATATCTAAATACAGCGTGATCACGTGTTAAAACTTGTATACTTCTTTTGAAAAATTCTCCTTTGGCGTCGATTGTGCCGTAGATTTCATCGTCAGAAACAAAATAAGGATCAAACTGATAGCAAAACTGTTGATGAAATTCGTGCGAGTCTCGTGCGATTTTCGAAATATCTTTTTCGATTTCCGGCTATCTCATCACGTCTCGTTCAACCCTTGGGGTTCTATCGTCGTAGAAGCATTTAAAACTCTTCAGCAATTCGTAAACCCCATTGTTGTACACCGTGTCCGGAGACAATTTTTGAAAATAAGATAACGCATAGATCATGCGCATTACCGACGGATCGGTTTCGTTTAATATTGTCAGAAATTTGTCCAAACACACCGAATCGTTCGATTCCTGACAAGTGGTCCACATGCTTGTGACGTGATCACAGCATTCATTTAAAATCGAAGCGTACATACAGCTTAAAATATTATACGCTTGCTTCAGTTTGGCGTACACGTTTTCTTTGGTGACGATAATAGTGTCGTGGGGGATGTCGTATGGTAGTAAATTATAAAATTTCGTCCGATAGGGACTGTCACGTTCTTTGATTTGCACGGATTCAAACTTGTACCAAAATTGGCGTATTTCTAGGAGTTGGTTCATTTTTTCCACCCGTACCATAGTGTTCGGATCGTAAGTCCGGATACGAGTTGTATACGTTTCGGGATCGTATTCAAAGCCGGAAGTATCGTCGTGCAGTATCCTAAACTTATTGGACATTATTTCTAATTCCTTTTTTATCTCACACACAACGAATTTACTGTTGTTGTCATACAATTTGACGAAACTCATAATATTTTCCGTTGCTATCGTATGGCCTTTATGTAGTAGTTCAAAGGGAATGGGTCGGCAAAACCTATTGTAGAACGCAAACAACCGCCTAAACGTGCAGTGCGCTTGCTGTTCAACAGACTTGCATTCGGCGTCGGCGGTTCGGCGAGAAGCCTGGTCATCATCTTTGGGCAGTCTGTTGGCGGTCTTTTTCGGGTAATATTTCGGCAAATCTACTAAAACGTTATACACTGCTTCTGGAAATTGTGTTTGGGGAGGCGTCAAATCTTTAAGGGACAAAAGGGCACCTGTCATGCGCATAACCATCGGGTGTTTATGACTGATTACCTGCTGGTAGTCTTCTAGACAGTCGAACGATTCTGAAGCTCCTTCATCTTTCTGCACTGGGCCCCAATGCCTCTCTCGTAGTCGCTCAAGTCCATAAGCAATCTGGCGTAAGAGCAGCTCAAAAACTGATAGGCTAGTTGGATTTTATCGACCACGTTTTCGTTGGTCACCGTTCCCACCAGCAAAGCGTTCACGGTCAATTCGTGTTCGGTTTCGTTCGTTAGTCGTCGGTCTATAATGAATATTGGGTTGTCCTCGTGGGCCATCTTGAGCCAACCGGAATACGACAACAGCTCGTGCATCGTGGTCACGGGGTTTGCATCACAACATAACACAGCACAATTCAACACATACGAGAAGCATATTATGTAATCGAATAAAAACATCATTTTGGATGCGGAATAATAAACGAATTTACGAATTTTTTTTAGGTATTCGTGTATAACGGTAAAAAAAACTACAAATTGACAACGTCGCGCACCTAATAAAACGATATTCGTCGTGTGTCAACGTTAAAACAATTTTGCACGGGATGGAAGGGTGACGTTTTTTCGGTCGGCGTTTTATTTACTTAACGCGAGTTGTGTATTTTATACACCTACTGCAAAAATAAAAAAAGTTGTACCGCGCCGCAAGCTTGTAAGCATGGTTCGGAAACGATGGTTGATTGCAACAACTGTCAAAATACCTATTGTGAATTTGTATCATGAAACATCTTAGCATGGCCTCTCAGCTCGAAAACGATACAAAAAATTGAAACAAAAAACTACACAAAATAAATAAAAATAAAAACATGCATTTCTAAATACTTACAAAATAATACATTATCTGATAAACGTATGAGGGACTTTGTTCAATAGGGCTTAAGCTTTTTTTACTTTATTTTCTATTAAGGTACTTAATAATTGATGAATAGATTATTAAATTAATTTTGAATGATTTGGAAAAACATGAAATTGTAGTAAAATGACCCCCAGATTTTACCTCCCCGGCATTTGCGACCTGGATGTCTGGGTCTCAGTATTATGACGAAACATTGTATTGCAATCCAAAATTAGTGCCTGGCAGGGCTGTATGTATGCGCAAGCTTCATAGGCTGCAGCCTAGGGGCCCGCACCAAAAATAATTTTTTTTAGTATAAATTAAAATATTTGTGCTCTATGCTATACAAAAAGATATGTTTTGAGAATTTTTAATTATATAAGTTGACAACAATAATACGATTGATGTTGTATAGTTATTATTACCACAAAGTCACACTATTTTTGATATTATTGAAGTTGGTGGAAGGTGGAATGGTGTAGTGTAGTATTATTTTTATCTGCGCGCCCTTCCTCTCCCATCCTAACTTTTAAACTCTTATAACTTTAAAAATGGTTGCCCAAAACTGGTCATCAACCAGAAAAAATGTTTAGTACATTATTCTAAATTTGAAAAGTTAATAAAATATTTACGTTACCATTAAAGTTTCAAAAATTGGTACAAAAAAAAAACTAGTTTCGGAAGGGGATAGAAACATAATAATTTGTGGAAAATCACGTTACATGAAAAAAAATATATACATACAGGGTGTTCCAGCATGAAAGGTAAGTAATAGGTGATTAGACATCTGGGGGACCCCCAAATAAGCCCTCCGTTTTCATTTTTTCGATAAATCAAAAATTGAAAATTTCGACAGTTAAGTAAAAAAAAATTATGCCCTGTTATTCAGTACAAAAAGCTCACCTTAAATGAGTGGTCATATAATTTTCAGTCCATTTCGGCCCCTATCTCAAAAAATCATAAGAGAAAAATGATTAGATACCAGAAATAAATGATAAGTGATAAAAGATAAATGCTAAGAAATAATTTATAAGAGATAAAAGAAAAGAGGTATTTAGTAAGAGATAAATTATGAGAGATTAGAGATAAATGATAAGAGATAGGGGCTATAAGATAAGAGATTAGAGATAAATAATTAGAAACAAGAGATAAGAAATAAATGATTAGAGACTAGAGATAAGAAATAAATGCTAAGATAAGTGATAAGAGAAGAGTTAAGGGCTGAAATGGACTGAAAATGACGTGACCCCTCTTTTAAAGTGAGCATTTTGCACTGAATAACAGGGCATAATTTTTTTTTTAAGTAATTATTTTTTTACTTAACTGTCGAAATCTTCAATTTTTAACTTATCGAAAAAATGAAAACGGGGAGCTTATTTGGGAGGCCCTCAGATGTCCAATCACCTATTACTTATCTTTCATGCTGGAACACCCTGTATATTAATAAAATCCAGTGAGATATTGAGTGGCCCGTGATAAAAGAATCACCCTGTATGAAAAATTAATAATTAATTTAAAATATTGATAATTATTATTATATTGATAATTATATAAGAGTTTTAAATGGATTAGGATGGGAGGGGAAGTGCGGTTGGGAAATGCGCGCAGATAAAAATAATATAATATAATACACTATTATACACTCCACCTTTCCTCCTGCCATAAACTTGAAACTTCAATAACTTTACATTATTCTCAATTTAAAAAGTTAATTAAATATATACATTACCATTTAAGTTGAGGGAGGGGATAAAAAAATGTGAAAAATTAAGATTACGTTGTATAAAAAAAACCAAAATATTATTATTAAAGCATACGAAATATTGTGTGGCTCATGATAAAAAAATCATCTTTTTCTTTTTTTTACTACTAACCTTTTTGATTATGAATTATTAATACTTTAATTAATAATTTAAGAAATTCATTTCTAGAGCCGCCCCTGGATGGAAAGAGGGTGCAAAAAAAAGAGGCAACCGGCCACCAATATATTAAATATTATATTCCTGTACCCATGTTAAGGCCCCGGGCCCGCACTATAGGCTAGCCTAGGGACTAATATATCCTAAAGACGGCCCTGGTGCCTGGATCAATATTACTTGATATATTGTTAAAAAAATCATTCACGATTTTCTCGAATCAAGCATCCTACTTAAGGTTCTTTTCACACAGATGTTTCGATATGTTCTTTTGAGACTGCTATACGTGTTATTCCAATATTCATCTAAAAAAATATATTACACTTTGAATAAAATAACGTGTGAAAACACAGACAACGATAGTGTGTACCATCATATATGCAAATGTTACACATCGTCTTTTAGTTTGATATTTGTTTTATGGCTATATTATGTACGTACTAAAATGTAAAACATTTGTGATAATCCAAATGTAATATTGTATTCTCTTGGCAGTAAAATACGTGTTGAGTGAGTTTCAGAACAAAAAAATACCTAGAAAAGCAGTACAGTGGCGAGGGGGTCATAGTGGTAACAAAGCATATTGAAGGGGCAGGGGGAAATCACAGGTCTATAAGAATTATTAGAAGTTGAAAAATAAGTAATTTGTTGGGTGTTTTTCTCGATTTCAAAAATCAAATATCGTTTTTTGTGAGTACAAGTGTCCCGCAATCTATAACGTTGTAAAATGTAACGACTTCAAAGTTGAAATTGATAAGAAAAAAACTGCCGTTTCTACAAATAAAAAATGAAAATATATACAAATATTAGTAAAAGTTGCTAGAGACTCCTAAACGGCATTTAATAGTACTTTTCCTTCATAAAAATAAAGTTTAATTACAGATTTTTGAGAAATTGGTAAATGTTACAGTTTCAATTAGTAAAACCTTTTTGGTTTTTACCATACAACCAATAATATTTTATGATATTGTAGTTTTCCCTCTTCGGTTTTAAATAAAAGGAGTTAAATTAAAACTCAATCAGTAACCTATATATTATTTTAAATATACATGTTGAGCTATTTTTTTAATCGATATCAGTAAAGAAATAAAGATAATGTAACATCAATCCAAAATATGATTATGCTTTTATTTAAATAACAATATAAAAATGTTAATATAACAATCATTATGATAACAATGTCCGTCGTGATGATTTATAAACTCTGAAATACATTACCAATATCTCTATAGCTTAATACAGCGTAAGCAAGTGTTAAATCGCGTATATTTGTTTTGAACATTTTTCCTTTGGCATCAAATGTGAGGTTTTCTAAGCAGTGGGATAACCAATCAGTATCAAACCCATTCTCCGAGTAGCAAAACTGTTGATAAAATTGTTGCGAGTCTCGGTCGATTTTCGAAATATTATCAACTCGGTCACCCCGTGGGGTTCTATCGTCGTAGACGCTTTTGAAACTCTTCAGTAAATCGTAAACACCTGTGTTGTAAACGGTGTCTGGAGACAATTTGTGAAAATAAAATAACGCGTCGATCATGCGCATCACTGACGGGTCGGTTTCGTTTAATATTGTCAGAAATTTGTCCGAACAGACCGAATCGTTGGACTCCTGACAATCGATCCACATGCTCGCGACGTAAACGCAACATTCTTTCAAAATCTTTGCGTACTTACAGCTTAAAAAATTATACGCTTGCTTCAGTTTGGCATACACGTTTTCCTTGGTGACGATAATCGTGCGGTGGGAGGTGTTGTTTGGTAGTAAATTGTAAATTTTTGTCCGATAGGGACTGTCAGGTTCTTTAATTTGCAAGAATTCAAACTTGTACCAAAAGTAGCGAATTTCCAGAAGTTGGTTCATTTTTGTTACTCGTATCATAGTGTTCGGATCGTAAGTCCGGATACGAGTTCTATACGATTTGGGATCGTAATCAAAGCCGGAAGTAGCGTCGTGCGATTCCCTAAACTTGTTGGAGATTTTTTCTAATATTTCTTCTATGTCAAACACAAAATCATCAAAGTTGTTGGGGTAAAATTCGACGAGCCCCGTAATTTTTTGCGCTACGTTTGAATAGCCTCTATTTAATAATTCAAAAGCAATGGGCCGGCAATTTCTATTGTAAAACGCAAATAACTTACTTAATGTGCCGTGTGCGTGCTGATCGACAGCGTTGCATTCGGCGTCAGCGGCTGGTCGGGTAGCCTGAGGTGGTCTGTCAACGGTCTTATTCTGGTAATATATCGGCAAACCTACTAATACTTCATACACTGCTTCTGGAAGTCGCGTTTCGGAGGGCGCCAAATTTTTAAGGGACAAAAGGGCGCCTGTCATGCGCATAACCATCGGGTGTTTATAACCGCTTACTTGCAGGTACTTCTCTAGACAGTCGAACGATTCTGAAGCCCCTACCATGTTTCTGCACTGGGCTCCAATGCCTCTTTCGTATTCGCTCACGTCCATAAGCACTCTGGCGTACGAACAGCTCAAGAACTGATATGCTTGTTCGATTTTGTCGACCACGTTTCCGTAGGTCACCGTTCCCTCCAGCAAATCGTGCACTGTCAATTCGTGGTCCGCCCTTCGTCGGTGTATAATGTAGATAGGGTAGTCTCGATGGGCCATCTCGAGCCATCCGGAATTCGACAACAGCTCGTTCATCGTGGTCACGAGGTTTGCATCACAACATAACACAACACAACCCAACACATACGAGAAATTCACTATGCCCGAGAAATTTAATAGAAACTTCATTTTAAAAATGGATTATTAAACGAATTAACCGGTTTTTTTTATGTATACGTGTATAATGGTAAAAAATTACAAACTCACAATGTCGTGCCTAAGTGTTGCGCATTTGAAAAAAAAGATATTCGTCGCGTGTCGACGTTAAAGAAATTTTCGCACGGGGACGGAGAGGTTACGTTTTCTAGGTCGACGTTTTATTTACATTACATGACTTGTATGCATACTGCAAAAATAAAATTCCGTTTTGGCAAAACTGTATAAGTCGTAGGACGGTTGCAAAACCCATGTCTACTCATTGAAAAATTTGAATAGTAGATTTCTGTGTAATTGCTAGAAATATTCGTCAAAAACGCTGATCTCCTATGCATATTTCCCTGTTAAGAATAAAAACTTTATGTGCAAACAGGGACACTCAACCATTACAATCAAAGTGTTAAAAATGATACTTATTAAGGTATAACCTCATAATTATAAACTATTACATTTTTGATAAAAACGTCAGTTTTTCAAAAATCCTACAATAATTAGAGAACCAGCAAGAGTCTTTACCATTTTATAACTGGGGGGCTGAATTAGAGCTAAAACACCTCCCAAGTGGCGCCTATGTGGCTGTGATCAACTATTATCATTTATAAGTTTGATTTCACTATAACACTTTTCTGGTTTTAAATCCGAGTTACATATTTTATCCGTTGAATACCGAAACGTGTTTATAATATTGTCAATTTTATTATTTTTTCTTGTTTTTCTTTTACTTGTGTGTGCAAAATCTGAATATGTAATTGGTCTAGTCCCGTATGACAAATAATAAATACAAAATAAATAAAAACTGTCACTAGCAAAATACTTCTCTAGGTTGGCTCTGACTTCACCGGAGATATATCAAGCGATCAAACTATCGTTATTATATCTCAATATCTGTTTTAATACTAGTGTCGATCTATAAATAACTGCTAGTTTTTACGTTATGAGTTGTAGCCAAAATATATTTCTGGCTTATTTACCAACTGCGACTAAGGTTTATTCATTTTAATGATTACTTAGCGATGGGTACTTAAAATGTTATATCAAATTTGTACAAAACTGATTCAAACAATTTCCTAATAGTGTAATATAGTATTGTTAAATAACTAGGGAGTCCACGCTTCCCGTTTTATAATTGAAAAACTAATAATATCCGTTTTATATAAACTCAAATTGCATTTTTGAAAAATTCTATGATTATTTATTACCAAACTATTTTTTTTTATCAGTACGGTATGTCGGGTAAGTTAGCCGGTCGCGGTTTTGCATCGTTTTCCACTATCCAACAGTCGCCGGTAATGCCGTGTTTCAGTATTTCGATTAATCCTTTTGCTACGCTTTCGGGGCTGAAAAAATTACGTTTGGTCAAGTTAACAATAAAATACAAAGTTTTAACAGCATAATTTATTTTTAGCTTGCATGCGTCGCGTCATAGTCGTGGCCAAATGAATGTACGGTTGGTGACTTCGTCCACCGCGAGGCACCACGACACAAAGGAGCAACAGTTGTTAACGATATATATATATTTATATCACCTAGAGGGGGTGGACATTTTTTCTCCATTTTTATGTGAAGTTTTAGGTATTTAGGTCTGAAGATTAGTCAGGAAGTAAATCTAGAACGGAGCTATAACATATCACTGATCCTCTTTTTTCTGTTTCCTCCCATTTCCTCTCCCCCACTAATGTAGCTTTAATTAATTAAACCTTACACAATACACATCTTTCCGTTGTTGCGATAGCGCCAATTCCAAATAGACTAGAATCCAAAAAAAAAAATGTTCATGTTGAGTTACTTCTGATTTTAGAGGCTTACCTTTAGGGGTGAGACGCTATGGAAGTTACTATCCTGTCTATGTTCGTATGTATATGATAAGAAACAGATGATTACGGATGCTGACAAGAGACAGCTGATAAAAGATTACGAAGCTACGTGGTAATATGTTATCAATGGATCATGGCATCAATGATGAGGAGATCGTAGATAAAGGTAGAGGTAAAGAACTAAAAACCCTGCGAAGCCAATAACACAGACGATCCACTTGACGGTTTTTTTTATGATAAAAAAGAAACTCTAATTGCTTAACAAATAATACCTCTGCACCGGATACGTTGCCATCGTATCTTTTGCTTTTTTACCGTATTCTTTGATCAAGTACAGACTGGACCTGTCGCCCTCGATGAACGGCGTTTGCACGTATCCCGGACACAGCACCATAATTCTGACGTTCAAATGCTCGAATGTTTTCTTGTCCTTTTGCATAAAACTCACTTAAAGCGTACAAACGACAAAACATAATACAATGTGTCTGCAAATCAAAATAATATATTACGCCGATCGCTCTGGTGAATTCCACGACGGCCCGTTTTGTGGATCTGTATATTGGACATATAGTCAAATTTCCCATGAAAGCAGCTATGGACGCAGTCTGTACAACAGTTCCTCCGTTGCCACCGTACGGCCTGCCCATATACTTAATCGCCAACATGGTACCCCGGACCACACCTCCCTAAGGAAAAAATAAAAAATCTGAAGACCTCCAGGTATGTCTGTACAAATTTCGTGACGCTGTTGATTGCGTGACGTTAAAGAGGGAAGGAGATGGGATAGTGATAAGGTGAAATCAATAACTCATCCATGACTGTTAAGAAATTATTGATAAACAAATCAACCGGCACAGAGTAATCCTCTAAAATAATAATATAGAGGAGCCGTTTCATTCCCTATATCGCCTGCATTCTACATTGGTACGACAACGGACAAGTGACTCTTCTTTGCATTTTGACTACAAATAAAAAAGAAAAAATATACGTGCAAAAAATATAATTTGACAAACTGCTCCATGATTTACAAATCATGAGCACGATTTAAGATAATATCAGAAAACAACCAGAAGAGAAACTTTTTTATGGGGGATAGTTTTTCCACACCTACGTGCTAATCAGTGTAGACTGTATAAAGATAATTGATATTTTTCTTCTTACTTCTAGCGACACTTTTCATTTCTTTATTCAAAAAGTGTGAAACCGTTTCGGTAGCAAAAAAGAAATATCAATTAAAGTTGATTTCTGGCTACAATGATTTTCTCAACAATTTTAGGTACTAATTTTCTGTTCTCATTGACTGTTTTTCTTCGGGTCAATGGTAATTTTTTAATAACATCTCAAATCGTGTTGATAAGTAACTTTAATCGACAACCCGCGTAGTGTCACCAAATAATAAATAATAAACAGTTATTGTATACCAATTACTGTATCAAAATGTGTTTTATTTAAAGTAGCTGCATTGCAAGAAGGAGTCACTTGTCGAACGGCTCCTCTATATTACTCTGTTGTAAGATGAGGTGGACATGGGATGGTGATTAGAGGAAATATCTGTATAACTTATAAAATATTATTGATAAGATAATCAGCTGATAAGAGACAGAAAATTGGCCGATCAAAAGGCAAGCACACGATTTAATGTCTATCATACAAAGGGAACCTATTTTTTCATATATTAAATAAAGTTAAAAGTATCATTGGCTTTCGGGCTACCTACATAGTTAACGTTAATTGTAGACTCCCACTTTTCCATCGTTTCGTTAAATATTCCCGCATTGTTGACGACTATGTCCAATCTCTTAAAGTGATCTATACACAATTTAAATGCGCCTGAAAAATAAATACACGACGTCATAATCATAAGACGTTTTAACAAGGTGGACTAAAATAGCTTATGCTTAGCTTCGCACCGAATACTCTGCGATAGACAGAGTTGGACATTTTTCATTTTAGTTAAAAGCTAACTTGATAAATATTCATTTTAGTCATTTCATAAAGCTAACAGTTTTAATCATGACTATTTCAATGTAGTAATAAGCAACAAAAAAAATTAGTCATGTATTACTAATTATTTCACTGAGCAAGTAAGAAGAGTGTAAGAACAAAATTTTAGGTGATTAAAAAATTAACTTTTTTATATAAGTACATACGAATAAATTTATTCGTGACTTTAGATATAACTTTGGTAAAATTTAATAATATTATTTATGTTTTCATTGAATTTAAAAAATGATTGAGGTAACGCATTCATAATAGTTATTTAGCGTTTGCCTAATTTTTCAATGGTTAGTAGCGTTTAAACTAAAACACTGTGTAGAACAAATTATTACAATACAATTTATAATTATTACTTTCGAATACCACATCGCTAGTGACGTCACAATGTAACGCTAAAACTTTATCACGGCCATATATCTGTGCAAATTCATTGGAAACGGATTGGCATTGCTTGATGTTTATGTCACAAAGCGCTACCTAAAAAAAAAAAAGAGATTTTGTTATGAAGGTTAAAACTGTATTGTTAATTAAAATCCAACTGTAAAAATTTTTGGGTTTTTTCTAATAAATGTTAGCCTGAAATTTTTCAAAAAAACGTTTATGTAATGGGTCCACTTTAATTGTACATTCAGTCTAATTTTAAGTCTATTGGTAATACTTAGAACTACACCTAAAAAAAGCGAAATAAAGAACAAGTTTCCATCCATTTAGACATAATAATATTACTAAAGAATATTTCATACGAATTTTGAGCGAATTCGACAAACTGAAATTGTTTTTTTTTTTTAAATTATTTAAAAAGGGGTTTTTTTTAATACAAATTGTTTTGTTAGTTTTTTTTTGTTTTCCAATATTATAAATTCCCAAATCAATCGGTCGACTTTTGCGGTTGATTATTACTTGAGAATATAATAAAATACATATTACATTAATCGTTTCGCTCACAAGAGGGTGGTAACTTTTTATTGTATTTCACTTTTTCAGTGTTAGTTTTTGGGACGTTCAGCCTGAATAATATAAAAAAAATCCGTAGTGGAAATGGGTGAACTTTTTAAACTTCATTCCTACCATTTTTTCTAAAGATAATCAATGAACACTCACGAGTTTTATGGGTTATATTGGTCTATAAAATAATTTTTTTTTTTATGTGAGTAACAAATTTGTTGCAATCTTTCTATCAGAGGTATATTTATATTATTTACATACATATATAATATATACCTTAACATTATTTTGAAGTAAGTACTTGGTGTAAGCATAACCGATTCCAGACGCTGCGCCAGTAACTAAAGCCACTTGATTTACACGTTCCATGATGGACTTGAGTTTGTTATTTGTAAGTATGCACAGGCTGTACTGTATAACTATTAAAAATTCGCAATATCTATTTTATTTTAATCTATTCTATAAGTGTTGATTTGAAGAGTCCATTTTTTTTGTTAGTAGTCGGTAAAACATAACTAAAAAAAACCTCATTAAATTCACCTTTTGGTACACGTTGTACAAATTCTGATATTGATTGACATTTGACCTTGTACGATAACATTATTATAAGACAAATTAGCAATAATTACTAGTTTCTCTTACCCAACCAATAACGATAATATTTTTTTAATGATGCGCCTTCGTCAATTTGTTTAACTTAGGTAGTAAACACAGCCGTTTCATAAATGAATAATATAATCTTAACCGTTCAGTGTCCATTGTAGCAGAAACTCAACATGTTTGTTAGTGAAAAATACATTTGATTTGGGTGGCACCCTGTAGCTATTAAAAAAATTGTTATCTACTAGATCTTATGAACGTACTTTTTTTTTAGATACATACATTTTTACTTTTTTCCTAAATTTCTGAATATTAATGTTAATCTATATAAAAAAAATTGTATTATAAAATGTGAAAAATACCTGATGGGAATTTCCTAATTACTACCCAGTGTCAAATTGAATACTAAACTTTTAGGCTTGAGACATTTTGAGAGATATAAAAAAAGGTCAACGAGTAACCCGCAATTGCCCTAACAAAACACGCCTCGAATTAAAATATTTATTTATTTTCAATGGTAAAAACCGTGTCCTTTAGGAATAATTTGTGGTTTGAACAATAGTTAATATTTGTATAAAACTTAATTATGAATTGTCTATTATAGTAACTAGCCTTACGTTGAAATTTAAAATGAGATATTAACAATAATCTATTAGGAAAAATCATACAATACTACAATTTTTATTCCCAATGCAAATAATTCAAGGATATACAATGAAAAATAATCTTATACATATAATGATGAATGTATACATATATATATATATACATATAAATTATAATCGTTCACACACAAGCATAATAATTCATAATACAGTAAATTAAGAAAAATAAATATTATAATTTTACTCCAATTCCCAGTAATAACTGTATGATTAATGTTTGAACCTTATAGTAGACTATTTTTCTTAAACTATTTTAGTAGGATTGCAGAAACACATCAGAATAAACGTGTACTATGTAGAGTTAAAACGTGAGTACACAAAATTATTTTTCTATAATATAGAACTATGCAAATTTTTGCTTAAAATGTATTTAAATTATATTTTTTAATACCCTAGTCATAAACATTTCTCAACTCGCCTGTTGCAGTAACGTTAGTGGTTCTGATTGAAAATGATAGTAATGATAGTATGAATAGTTTTTCATATTTCTCATCATAGGCTGATGTATGATAACTCATTTTGTCGGAAAACATGAATATTTTGAAAATAATTTTTTTTGTCCTACACGATTAGGTAAATATTCTACTTTTTTTTTTCAATACTTAACACACTTTTATCTTCGTCTCTTATACATAAAATTAGTATGAACTCTGTTTTTTTTTACAAATGGAAACATAATTTCAATTCCATAAATATTTAGACAAGAAATTTAAAAAAAAAGTTAGGGTTTAAATATTTAGTTTAATAGGAAAGTAACAAATTTTAGCGACCTTATAGCTTACAATACTACAAAACTATGAAAAACCCATCTTCCCGAATAACAAAATTTATTTTTTAATTATTAGAACTCGATCACGAAATTAAACATAAGCCTGGCTCTTTGAATAAAGCGGCTGATTGTCTTTCTCGTCTCCGAATCGATGTTTCGAATACCAAGAAAATATGATAAGAAGAAAATATGGATTTTAACACTATTAACTTAGAAATATTAAAAGAAAAACAAATAGAAGATGAACTTTTTGTGGTTATAATTTCTGTCATTAAAGGGGATCGATGAAACCACAAAATATAAAAAGAAATTGAGACAATATTGCATAAAATATGATTTACTATTATACAAAAATTGGTCACCAAAAGATACTAATTATCTTTTAGCAATACTTAAGAGTTTATTTGAAGTAGTGTTAAAATCATATTATGAGTCTGTTTTCTCAAGACACTTTGGCGTATTAAAAACATTAGCTGGACTAAAAACAAAGTATTGTTGGCCATCCATCATTCAAGACACAAATATGTTCATTAAATCTTGTATTTCATGCCAACTTTTAAAAAATACAATAGGCAAAAAATCAGGACTATTACAACATATTCGACTAGAATCTACTAAACCAAATAATAGGCTTTGTATAGACTACTTGGAACCCCTACCGCCATCCAAAGAGAAAAAGTATTTAATAATTGCCACGTGCAAGTCTACAAAAATGGCTTTTGCTAAAGCAGTAGCCAATGCTGATGGGACCGCAGCAATAGATTTTTTATTAGACATTATTACCACATTTAGCATCCCCAAACACCTAATTAGTGACAGAGGCAGTAATTTTAGTAGCAAGGAATTAGAATTGGTCTGTAAAAATTTAGGTATTAAACAGGGATTCTCGACATCATCCCACAACCTCAAGGTAGTACCGAACTGATAACAAACTTATCTGTAATAGTCTAACACATTATGTAAATAATAACCAAAAACATTGGTCTTCTTATTACAAAGTATTAGTATTCGCTTACAATACTCCCCTCGTAACAGACGGTCGTATACGGGAGAGTGCAAATTTACCGGACCAAGCTCATGAGAGTGCGATACTACGACATAACAATTTGTGCGGCATTAAATAATAGAAATAAATATATACTTTATTCAATTGCCATTTGACCTAGATATATTGCTTAGTTTCATAGTTGTATTATTTCTCGCTCCTAATACAATATATAGTACACTTTATATATTGTATACTACATGTTAATTCTACATAGTAGATTTAAATGTATATAATTCGAATCGGAGCTAAAATTGTTTCACGATTATCGAAAAAAAAAATTACAATAATATTTTTAATAGCTGTTGCCATCAACTATCGTATCCGAATCACGCTTACGAGTATGCGGCTCGGTAAAACTTTTTTTCATTTTTGCAGTAGGTATATAAAGTATTGTGTACTTTATATACCTACTGCAAAAATGAAAAAGTAATTCTAATAGCTGTTGTCATCGACTATTGTATTCGAATCATGCTTACAAGTATGCGGCTCGGTACAATTTTATTTATTATTATTGCGGTAGGTATATTCTATAGTACACAAGTCGCGTTATGTAAATGAAAAGCTAACCCAGAACATGTCACCCCCCCCCCCAGTCTTGTGCGAAATTTCTTTAACGTCGACACACGACGAATATCATTTTGTTAACTGGGCGACGCGCAGGCACGACATTGTCAATTTCAAGTAACTTTTTACCGTTTTACACGCATAGTTAAACAAAATTTGTAAATTAATTTATTAATCAGCATTCAAAATGTTTTTATTCGATTTCTCGGGCACAGTAAACTTCTCGTTTGTTTTGGTTTGTGTTGTGTTATGTTGTGATGCAAACCCCGTGACTACGATGAACGGGCTGTTGTCGAATTCCGGATGGCTCGAGATGGCCCATCGGGACTACCCTATCTACATTATATACCGACGAAGGGCGGACCACGAATTGACCGTGCACGACTTGCTGGAGGGAACGGTGACCTACGGAAACGTGGTCGACAAAATCGAACAAGCATATCAGTTCTTGAGCTGTTCGTACGCCAGAGTGCTAATGGACGTGAGCGAATACGAAAGAGGCATTGGAGCCCAGTGCAGAAACATGGTAGGGGCTTCAGAATCGTTCGACTGTCTACAGGACTACCTGCAAGTAAGCGGTTATAAACACCCGATGGTTATGCGCATGACAGGCGCCCTTTTGTCCCTAAAAAATTTGGCACCCTCCGAAACGCAACTTCCAGAAGCATTGTATGAAGTTTTAGTAGGATTGCCGACATATTATCAGGAAAAAACTGTCGACAGACCATCCAACGACGACGACCAGCACGCACACGTCACATTAAGTCGGTTGTTTGCGTTTTACAATAGAAATTGCCGGCCCATTGCTTCTGAATTACTACGTAGAGGCTATTCAAAGGTAACGGACAATATTAGTTGGTACATCCGCTATCACGACAAGAACAGTAAACTCGTTATACATGAGATAAAAAAAGAATTAGAAAAAATGTCCAACAAGTTTAGGATATCGCACGACGATACTTCTGGCTTTGAATACATACCTGAATCGCATACTACTCGTATCCGGACTTACGATCCGAACACTATTGTACGGGTGGAAAAAATGAATCAACTCCTAGGAATTCGCCACTTTTGGTACAAGCTTGCATCGATGCAAATCAAAGAACGTGACAGTCCCTATCGGACGTACATGGACGATTTACTTCCAACCGACAGCTCTTACGGCACTATTATCGTCACCAATGAAAACGTGTATGCCAAAATGAAGCGAGCGCATAATTTTTTAAGCTGTAAGTATGCATCAATTTTGTATGAATGTTGCAATTACGTTGCGAGCATGTGGACTAACTGTCAGAAATCAAACAAATTGGCCTATTTTAAGAAATTCCTTAAATTATTAAAGGAAGCCGATCCTTCAGTGATGCGCATGATCGACGCGTTATATTATTTTCACAAATTGTCTCCGGACACCGTGTACAACAATGGCGTTTACAAATTGCTCGAGAGTTTCAAATGCTTGTACGACGACAGAACCGCACGGGATGACCGAGACGTGATGAGTTGGTCTCCGGCAATCGAAAATGATATTTCGAAAACCGCCCGAGGCTCGCAAGAATTTTTTCAACAATTTTGCTATTCGGAGAATGAGCTTGATACCGACTTATTGGACTACTTAAAAAACCTCACATTCAAAGCTAAAGGAGAAATGTTCATAAGCAGAATAGAAGAATTAACAGATTCTCACGCTGTATTAAGTTATAGGCATATTCGTAATGTATTTCAGAGCTTATAAATTTTTTCATATACGACCGAAATTGTAATAATAATGATTTTTATATTTACATGTTGGAAACATATTGTTATTTAAATAAAAGCATTATTATTTTTTCAATTGATGTTA